ATAGTTACGACGTCCGCCTCCCTTTTTAACGGTGTTGACCTCGCCATCGTCTTCCCGAGCACGCTTGCTCCTATAATCGTCATGGCGGTTACGCCGCTGATTACGTTGGTCACGGTGGTCGCGGGAGTCGTTGCGCTGGTTGCGGCGGTCAAATTGTCGTTCCGACCACGGTTGCCGTGGTAGTCGTCGTGGTGTGGGGGGTGGTCGGAGCGCGGAACCCTTGCTGCTTCTTCAATAATTATCTTTTTAGCGTCGTCGACGTCCGCGTATTTCTTAGCGGTGGCCAGGAGCGCTGTGACCGAATCAGGTCTCTTGCGGAGGAGCTTGTCCCTTAGGGCATCGTGGAAGCGGAGGCCAGTGATGAAAGCCTCGATTGCCTCGTTGTCGGAGATTGATGGGACCTTGATGCACATCTCCGAGAAACACCGGACGTACTCACGCAGTGGCTCATCTTTTCGATCTCGAATACATTGCAGATCGTATTTGTTGCCTAGTTGTTCACAAGTAGCAGTGAAGTTGTCGATGAAGGCTTGCTTGAGCTCCTGCCAAGAGTCAAAATAGTTCGTCGGCAAGCTGACCAGCTATTGGTGACCCGCATGGCCAACAGCGACTGGGAAATAGTTAGACATGACGTGCTCGTCAGCCATGGCTGATCTGCATGCGGTCTCGTAAAGTATGACCCATAATTCGGGGTTTTCCTTGCCATCGTACTTCTGAAGTTTCTCGAGCTTGAAATTCTTGGGCCATATGACTTGGCGAAGGTGTGGAGTAAACTGCTTCAAACCCGGCGGGCCGTGGGCAGTGTCATATTCCATACGGCGATAACTTTCGTGGGACGCTCGATCGTTGGCTCTCTGGTTAATGCGAGCGCGCAGATCGCGTCCACTGAGGTAATGGCGGAGATCGTTATTGCCATCGCGGCGATCTCGATTGCCATCTGGATTAGCCCTGCGACCGTGGTTATCGCGGCGATTGTCGTGGTTGTCCCGGCGGCGGTTGTCGTCCTGGCCACCATCATGGCCACCGTTTCCTCCTTGACGGTTGTCTGATGGGTCATTGTTGCGCGAGCCACGTTGGTTGGGCGGCTGTGAGCGACTTGGGTGCTGGCGGCTGTGGCTTGACTCGACCGAGACGGATGGAGCCCGAGCTTGGTTTACAATCTCCATGGTCTAGGCCATAGCAGCCGTCAGATAGGCTTGTATTTCATCGCGAACTGCTTGGGTTTCCGGGGTGTTGGGTAGCCATTGCATTGTCGCCATGGCGACGGCTACGTTGGCACTTGGAGTTCTGAAGACCTGTTTGTCCCCCACCCTATCGAAAGCATCGTTGAGGTCACGTGGCTGGACCCTTATGCGTCGTGCCTCCTGGTCTGCTTCGGCTTCGATTTGTCGGCGATTAAACCGGTCAATATTGCGTGCTTCGCGTGCAGTCCTTTCGTGTTCTGTTTTGCCAACTGCCGGTGGTTCATCATTGCTGACAACATGGATCAAATCCCCTCGTCTTGGCGGGAAAGACGGGAATTGTGAGAACCCCGGGGCGTGGTCTGGGATATCCAGATTGTACTTGACGCCTTCATCTTCGTGATGCTGAAGCTCGGTGTGGACAGATGCATTAGATGCGGTGCTAGACGAGGAGCTGGAGTCGCCCTCTTGGACTGTGTGAACGGATCCTTCTTGATAATCTTCAATCTGGATCATGTTGACGAAGTTGCGTGGCTTCGGCTGAGGTCGGTGTAGAAAACACAGATCCAAGCGGCGTTGCAGGTTGTAGGCATAGCTGGAGGCAGCGTTTCGTAGGCCATAGGGCTGGACCTGGTAGTTCTCCATTGAGGCTTCGTACTCGGAGAGCCGGAGACCCGTCGCGAAGGCTGGCCAGCGATGAGCAGAGCGCCCTTGAGGAGTAGATGTGACCACGAGATCTGTACCAAGTCGTGCAGGACAACTGGTCCGAGCTGGTCGGGTAGATCTGTTGTGGGGAGCGGTTACCTGCGCATTAGGCTGACTTTGAATCGTACTTACCAGAGCTAGGGTTTCAGCGAGCTTGGTGCCGACCCGATCGATGGAGTCGAGCAGGTCGGTGTTGTCGATCTGCTTCCCTTTGTAGCGGGGAAGCGGATGACAAGTTGTCGGCGTGGCTGAAGGTGATGCAGGCGTGGTCGGAGCCAGATGTACCGTGGTCGGAGCCAGATCCATCGTGGTCGGAGCCGCATCCATCGTGGTCAGAGCCGTATCCATCATGGTCGGAGCTGTAGCCGATGTAGGTGAAGCAGTGGTCGATGCAGACTGAATCCACGCCTCCTCCGGGGTCATGGCGATGAAGTCGTCGGAGCCGGTGGTCCAGGTGATCTGGCCAACGGTGAACGTGAGGCCGTTCGGCGTAGCCATGGAGCCAGAGATGATGACCATCTTGTTTGCTTGGAAAGCAGTACGCACACCCCCTACCTAGCGCGCCACTGTCGACGAAATATGGTCGGCAGTCTACCTAGGGGTATACCCAAGGTAGTAGATTATCGACAAACAGAAGCGCAAGCCACAAACAAGACGGTGACGCAAGACAGACACAAGGTTTTATCCAGGTTCGGCCGCCAAGAAGACGTAATACCTACGTCCTGCGTCTGATTTGTATTGCTGTATGTTAATGAGAGATGTTTTTTAGAGGGGTCCCCTGCCCGCCTTATATAGTTCGGGGGGCAGGGTTACAGATCTGGAAACTAATCCTAGCCAGTTACAATTGCCATATGTGCCCGGATAAGGATTCCTATTCTAACCAACCAGGATCTTGATTGATCGCCAAATCCGCCTTGACTCCTTGCGCGGGACTCCGATCAGGTTAACCGGGCCGCACGTCGTCTTTTGGTGGACCGGACCCACCGATCCGGGCCGGCCCAAGCTTAGCCATAAGGGTATAGGGGTTAATACCCCCACAGTGCGCGCGAGCGTACCCGATGGGTATAGCCCCCAGGCGAACTTGGAGTGGTCGGTCGGGGGGTCTTCATCCTTCGGGAACCATTGAACCCGACGCTTAACATACACATATGTTAGGATCTCGTGAGGGCTGCACCGGAGTCGATGGTACGACTGGGGGCCACGTCACCTAGTCAGTTGCCTGCTGACCTGCCACGGTGACACCCTCGCCGCGCCAGGCACCATGGCATGTCTTAGAAGTTTGGCCTCGCGAGGAAGATTGGTACGGCCAAACAGGTTAGTTTTGAAGAAAAAAAACGGCATATTGTTTTTAGATTTACTTTTAAAAAAGGGTTAAAAATAAAAAAAATCATAATGTCACAATACGAGAGGAAGGAAGAGGCACCTTGCCACTGTTGCTAACCATCGCAGCTCAAGCTCACTAATCGTAGAAGAGCAACTGAGCTCATAGAGAAGCAGCGCCGTTGGATCTTAGCATCTTGCCCCCGAGCAAGAAGCATTTTGACACATTTCCACCATCTGGAAGGATGGCCGAAAGTTTTTATTCATCAGTAGGAACCATGAATTGTTCATCATAAAAAATAAAAATAAAAAAGTAACCTTGAATTGGCATTACATTGCCTTCCTACACGTGGCACAATGGGCGTGTGGTCACACAGATAACAAAAACGCAAATTCTAACGCGCGGCCGGTCGCGCGCTGTGCGTTTCGCGCGACGCGGGCCAGCTGACGCGCGCAGCCCAAGCAACCCGGCGCGCCGCTCCCATGCAGCCCACTCGCGCGGGGATAGCATCCATTTCCGCTGGTCATGTAGAGGCGTACAGCAACAGGAGCTCGCCAACACTAGTTTTTTTTTTTCTGATTTCCTGCTAGTTGCCTGTATCGGTCCAAGGCTGTCTGTACTGAGTGTATATCATGAGATTCCAGAAATTGATGGATATCAGATTGAACACTTTTCCATGTTGTTCATTATGTAATTTCAGTCTTTAATTTCCTTTTTTTTATTTCTGTTCTCAATTTCAGTTTTTATTTTGAGTGCTATAATTTCAGTTTCTATTTTCAGGTTTTATGTTTTTTTCTAGTTTTTTTTAATTTCAGTTTTCAGTCAGATTTTTTTTGTTTTTAGTTTCATTTTCAGTCACCCTTTTAGGTACGAATGCCTTCATAAATCATGCGTATTAGTTTTGCCTCAGCTACAATATATAAGTTGTTACAAAAAGATAGTCATTGCACACATAAATCGCCACAAGAATTTTGCCCCCTCCCCCCAACCCCCCAACTTGTGCAATAGCTTCTATTTTTAATTAATTTGCCCCCAAAGTTGTACTGGTATAGTATTACATAGTATTAACTCATTTTGATAGTTTTTGCGCCCTCCCCCTAGTTTATGGATACTATGTAATAACTTTAATATATATTTGGAGGAGCAACTTTAATTTTACATGATAGCAATTTCCCCCCGAGCTTGTGCATACCATGTAAAAACTTTATTATATTTTTGGAGTAGCAAGTTTAGTATTACATGGTAACAACTTATTTCATAAATCTAACAAACTTTTACACAAATTGCTATTGAAATAAAATTCTTCAAAATATAGACAAGTATGAAAATGGATATATCATTAAAAAATTATAGCGGTTCAAAGAAAATGTTGTGCTTTTTTTTTTAATTGTATCAGCTTACGTCACACCTGCTGAAAAAGGAATTGGTCTGGGGCTCTGGGCGCCTGGCACGACGGTCGCGGAGGGGTCACTCTCTCTCCTAAAGCATGACGGTCGCGCGTTAACGTGGCCCTAACAAAAAAGTCGAGGCATCCATTCCAGTGTATTATCACAATTACAACCAGAGACTAATAGTGCTCATGGCAATATGGTATGTTTGAACACACACGCCCACATACACCAAAATAGGAGGAAATGACATACAACAGTGATACTGCATAAAGTTGAAAACTGAAAACCGAAAGCAGACCATCGTGCATCAAACTTTACTCACGTAGTTGAGAAGCAAAGCCTGGAAAACCAACAATTATTCATCACATAAGCACTCCCTGTGATTAGGTGAAGAAAGCAAGCTCAGTATCTTCTCCTGACAGGGCTCCTTGATCTGCAAAAGGTACGATAAGAATGTTAACTGTAGCTACGACCAACAAAACATCAGACGATAGGAAGAACAGACATGATTACCATGAATATACAAAAATACGTACAGATACAATTATATAAATACCAGTAATAGCACGTCCACAAAGTACTAATAGCACAAGGAAAACCATCTGTGCCTACTAAGCGTGTAGATTGCTACTAGAACTGTTTCATTATACTATGTGATTAATAAATTTTGGTTAATCAGATCTTTTGTTAATTTTTGACTGAAAACCTAGTCGATAACAGCTTCAAACACATAAATTTCCCCTTGATGTGGCTACGATTAACAAATGATAGAGAGCACATGATCTAGAAAGAGATATAACTAAGGGCTAGATTGGCAAGGCTCTGGCTCCTATGAAAATGGCTTTGACTTTTGCAGAGCAGCTTCTCTAGTGGAGCTAAACTGTTTTGCAAACTGTTTGGCAAAAATGACTCTAGTGGCAGTTTTGTTATAATTTGTGCTTAGTTTGTGAGAGGCCACGTTTTCACGGCTCTGTCTCCTCCGTAGAAAAATAGCCCTGGCTCCTCCAGGCTTCTTCTCCAGAGCTATTTCTTGATGACCATTTGGAGCCAAAGCCGCACTAGAAGCCCTGCCAAATGAGCCCTAAATAAATAAGAAACCCCCAGCCACCCATCCACCCACCCTCACACCAAAAAAAAAAAGGAAAATATACTGTAGTTTTAACTGATCTATGTACAAATAAGATTGTGACCCAAATATTACTATGTCAAAATACCAAAATCAGAATACTAACTGCTAGACCACAAATAAAAACATAATAAGAGAACAATGTCATTTAAAAACCAAATATTCATTCGAATAAACCCCCCAAATATTCACAGCAAACATATTTTTTTCCTATAAGAACTTCATGAATTTGAAATTGAATGTATGAAGGACAATAAACGCTTTGTAGGCTAATCATCTCTCTTTTTAAGAATTTGTAGATTTGATCCCAAACCATCCAATGAAAATGAAAGGTGGAATGCACTTTGATAATATCAACAAAGACAGACCTCCAGCGAACATTTCTTTGCTTAACTGGGCCACTACTAAATGCCCAGTCAACATTTAGTATCTGTGTAACAAGCTCAGTTCCATCCATTGCTTTAATTGCAGCCTGGGCTTCATCAAAGCTCTCATATTCAATCAAAGCATATCCCTGCAAAAGGTAAATGGCAAAGAGATAAAAATCCATAGATCTTTTCTTATGTAATTGGCGATATTGTCAGGTTGTATACAGAGCTAAGAATGCTTCATGTTTAAGAGAGTAATGAACTATTGTAACTTCACCAAAATGGAAGCAAAAGCGTAAGTGAGAGAAAAATGATAGGGTCTCACATTCATTGAAGAATACAACATATTCCAGACACGAGTAACAAGACATACTCGTAGATCTGTTTACATGAACAGAAGTGCAATCCATAATGTAAAATGCACAAGAGACAAAAAAAACTAAGCAAACTGGTACCAGCATGTGCCAATATAGAACATTTACAGGATACCTATATTAAAAGGAGAAAATCTCTCCCCCATCCCACCGCACCTCTCTCCCCATATGCATCTCACTCTTGCCGTCCACATGTTTCCAACCCAAACCTAACACGAGACCACGTTTCCAATCCAAATCTAACACGAAACCACAGTATGGAGTCACGATTGTTGCATAAATCTCTAAGTCACGAGTCGTCTAGATGACTATGCAATAAGTTGTTGCAACATAGGACGTGTTTGCTAGTTAGAATAATTAGCTATCAGGATAGCTAGGACACATGGAATGACCACCTAAAACTTTCTGCACTTTGCTATCTAATACCATAATAGCCAAATTGAGAAATCAACTTTTCAAAACTGAAGGCAAATATAAAAATCCTTCTTTCAGGAAAAGTAGAACTCAACAAGAAAATCATAATCCCAGCTTATGCCAAAGAAAGTAAAAAAAATATAGCATCCATAATAACGAATTAATAATGTAAAACAAATGGCTAAAAGGCTACTAAGCACAGGTTATAATTCTTTATCCAACACGACTCATTAAAGACTTATTCCTTAAGCAGCATTTATTTCTAGCTGCAGGGAGTTTTCATCTAAAGGATTGGCACACATCTCAGCACTACTAAATATAATATAAGCTTAAGTAATAGCATATTCCAGACTATCAAGTTACCTTACTCTTTTGGTATCAACTCCTATTCTTAAAATAAAACCATTCATTCTTGAACTGTCTGATATTTGTCAATTTGCTCAATGATGCATGACAAGTTAAGACACTAACTGTAACTGACTTCTCAACCTAAAGAAAACATGAATGATAAAAGGGGAAATTTTTGTAATCTTATATCAACCTTGTAATCTAGCTTATGTTCTAGAAGCAAAGTAATGGTATTTGCCTTGCACACTTGCAGCAAAATGATAACTTTGACATAGAGGAACAGCTTCTAACTCTTGTATAACCTTTCTACATATTAACAATTGCTTAGATTTGCATTTGTAATTGTTCAAAGATTTTACAGCAACTTTAATTGGAAAGAGCTCCAACCAAATGCACAAAAACGTAAATACTTACTTTGACAAACCCAGTACGACGATCTAAATTCAAATGCAGGTTCTTGACCTGCCCAAATTCCCGGAAAGTATTATGGAGATCATCCTCCTGTGCTTCTTCATGAACGCCAGTTACCAAAATAATCCACCCCTCAATAGCTGCAAACACACAGAAAAGGGCACAAATACATATGAGCTAAATCAATAAGGTCAACTGTCTAAGTAGTACAACTTCAACCCAAAATATATAGTTGTGGACACAATGGTGCTTAGTCCTTGTTTAGTGCGTAAACTCATATTTACAGTTTATAAAGAGACAAGTGAAATGCTATTGCTCAACTGCCCTTACAACATGGAGAAACAGAGGGTTACATGAGGTTGCAAACCAAAGAAAAAAGCATGCACGCCAACTTCAGGATATAATCATTTGACTGAGATATTATGAAAAGCTGTTAAAATGAAATTAAACTGACAATAAATATTTGATAGATAGCATGAACTTTAAGCTAAAGAATTTTAACCAATACCTAAAACTTTGTACAATGCCTAAGCTTTTCTTACAGATGAGGCTCTCAAAAAATTAATAATGCAAGTATCTCAAAATACAGCACTTAGTTACTAAACAATTTAACCAATGCTTAGTCAAAAATAGTATAACCAGCTAACAAGCTAGTAGGTGTGAAACATAAGACTGAAAAAGAATGATTAGTGTGGTAAATGTAGCTTGTTGCACATCAGGCCTCTAATATGTATCTCAAATCAAACAACAGTAGCGATGTAGGTTTTAATGGGTTGGCCGTTGACCCATTAACCCAGAACCCGAAGTCAAGAATTTGGTGTTATTACCAGTTGGGTCGACCCACTAATACCTAAAACTTTGTACAATGCCTAAGCTTTTCTTAGAGATGAGGCTCTCAAAAAAATAATAATGCAAGTTGTTAAGGTATAATAGTCAGGGGTATTATTGTAATCTCCTAGTCTAGGGTTTCCCTCGTGTGTCCCTCGTGTCCCTCATGTACTCTATATATAGTCCCCATTGGGCCTCAATACAATCATCTAGTTGAGTCACTCTTTATTTGTAACAGGGTACCAAAGCTCTAGGTTTTTGATCCAGCCACCACCCTTCCATTCGCTGCGCTGCCCCGGGAAGATCCATCTCTGTTCCTAGGGCAACCCTCGTAGATCTTCGATTTTTGTTTTCTTTTTCGTCGCGTCCAGTAGCCATGCAGCAGCAGCAGCCGCAATCCGTTCATAGCAGCAACTCATACTTTGTCAGCAGTCGTGGCCGCGCCCCTCAACCAGCCGCGGTCCAATTCTTCGCCGCTGCCAGCCATCTTCTTCATCCGCATTGGCGGACGGGTCCGTCGCGAGTCTTCTCCGTGCGCGACAAGGCGGGACCTTCGTTCGCGCCTGGTCGTGTGGTTTGTTTGCGGATGCGGCCGTCCACAACCCTTCGTCCGCATGCCCATCACGGACACCTTAGTCGTCGCCCGTCCGCCCGCGGAGCAGACATCCCGCCTCCGCTCTGTCTTGGCTCGTCAGCACCCATCCGCGCGGCCCTTCGTCACACCATCTGCCTCCATCTGCGCGATGCCCACACACCACTTCTCGTGATAATACAGATTGCTAACGATCCTATGGAGCATGAACTTACAAAGTATATCGAGGTTGATGCCTTCTTCACTCGGTCTCATTGTCATCAGAGAACCATTGCTCTTCAATATGTGCCTTCAGAGTGCAGTTGGTAGATTTTTTTCACTAAAGCACAAACTAGAGAGCAGCATCAGCTTCATTTACTCGAACTCGATGCTTCAAATCCTCTAGTACCACCCTAGTTTGAAGGGGGGGTGCTAAGTGTATGAAGGCCCATCTACTATAGGTCCATATGGCCCACGAGGCCCTCTATATATGGTTATCTCCACTAATGGAGTAATTCATTCTCTCAAAGCCCCATGTTTTTAACAATCTGTAGCTATGGAGGGTTATGAGTAAACTGCACATTGAGTCCTTAAACTTTTGGGGCATTCCCATCTAGGTCCTCGAACTAAAAAAACGACTATCTGGGTCCCTGATCTTCTGCCGCCGTATACCAAAGGTGCAAAACCTGCCACGCCAAAGATCAAGATCTCGGCGTGGCCATGCCACTGATGGCGGTGGACCTTTGGGTCATGCCCACTTCTCCAAAAAAAACCGCCCCTTTTCTCTTTCTCACTCCCAAGTCCATCTCTCTCCCCAATCACGCCGCTCCGCTCTCTCCTGCGCCACGCGCGAGATGGAGGCGCACGTCCTCATCCTCGTCGTCCTAGCAGTAGCGCGCGACGCGGCGGCGCGCGCAGAAGCGCGGCCACCACCCGGCGACGTCCCGTCCCCTCCACTTGCGACGCTGACGCGGCGGCGAAGACGCTGGCGGAGGCGCGTCAAGGGCTCAAGGCACGACGAGATCGCTTGCCGGTGTGCATGCGCGGATCGGTGAGGCGGCCCACCGGCAACCTAGTGAGCGCGGCCTGCACAGCGTGGCGTGGCATGCGCGAGGTAAGAGCATAGCGTGGTTTTCGGCGTCGCGAGCGCGAGAGCACGGTGTGGTTTCGCCCCCGCTCGCTAGTACTCGCCCGATCGCCCATGCGTGCGCTCATATGTCCGCCGGCCCGATCTGCGCTAGCGTTACATCGCCGTCCTCGTCCACCCGGCGTGCCATGGGCACCCGCCGCCACCGAAAGCTCCACCATGCGTTAGGCGCGTGTCTTTGCCTTCAACTTCGCGGCAGACCATGCCGGCCGACGTCGAGGGCTCAAGGCTCTTGGAGCCCATGTGCTTGGATAAGAGCCATGGTCAGATGTCGACGCCGGCGTCCGGCTTAGCAGCGCTCTAGGCCGGATGCACTCTTGGTCGCTATATGATGGAGGAGCTGGACGTGCCCACGTCGCGCCAGGGAGCTGGCCATTGACGACTACACCGACAGCCTGCAATGCACGGGGCAGCAGCACCGCCGGCGGCGAAGAGGACAAGCCGTCGTTCCCTAACCCGAAGAGGAGCCTGCGGCGACCAGCCCTCCAACACAGCCACCATCTCCCACAGCTCCCGCGCGTACTGCATGCGCTGCCGGGAACCTCATCATGGAGTCGGGCAGCCGGCAAGCACAGGGACAGGTCCAGCCCCCATGCATGCATGCAGCGTGTGACGGCGTGAGGGGGGCGGGCGTGATGCGCTGTGCTCCAAACACGTGAGGGATTTTTTGAAGTTGGCATGGCTATAGTGTCCACCTGCCACCGTGGCACGGCCACATTGGATGTTGGCGCTGGCGTGGCGGGTTTTGGACCTTTGGTGCACGGCGGCAGTAGATCAGGGACCCAGATAGTCGTTTTTTTAGTTCGAGGACCCAGACGGGAATGTCCCAAAAGTTTGAGGACCCAGCGTGCACTTTACTCGAGAGTTATCTACAGCTAGCAAGATGAAGTATATGGTTCTGTTCTCTTACTGGTGGTGTAAAAAATGCTATCTGTAGCTTCATTCATGCCAAGTATGCATTACCTTGTTGTTGCTGCTACATAACTCCATTTTTTTGTCTAATAACTTGTAGGCTGTGCACACTATGGGTAATACTTTTCTGTACTGACTGCAATGCAAAGATGGAAACTTAAGAACACAGCCCTTCATGATGGTGTTTTAAACTGCATGGTGACATTCACATGACGTGCTTAGGGCCACTTCTTCATTCTCCGAAGGAGTGATTCTGGTAGGGTGCAAGATGGGGAGCAGGTGAGAATCAATTCTGAAGTGATTCTTGTGGCAAATGAATGGGGAGCAGCGGGAAGCGGTGGACAGCGGGTTTTTTTTAGCTCCTAGCTCGTAGTGTAAATGGAGAAGTGATTCTCGTCAGCTCCCCACTAGAATCCAGTTGTATTTTAAGTGTTTGGTAGGGCTCCATGGAAGCTGAGAGTGAAGCTGGGGCTGGGAGCTGTGCCAAAGGGGACGTTATTCTGCAAGTCATTGTTAGATTCTGTTTGCAACCATAGTAACGGAAGCTGGTAACTCTATTTGTTCTATTTCTAGGAACCACTATCTTCTTCATGTGCACCATATGTACTCTTGCAAAATAAAGGGATTACTGGATAATTTCATACTCTCTTTTTTGCTCTTTAACTACTGAAGTGTTTTCTTTTGATAGAGATTCCTTTCAACGCTATTATAGTTTCATGCAGCAGGACTGTTAGTGAAGACGAAGAGGCCAGTAACTGGATGGCTATAGTTTCAACGCTGTAAGAGCTACTAAGGGAGTTTCCTTCCAGGAGGGAAATTTAATTTGGCCAGCAGCTAACGCATCCACCAATCCACAAATTTGGCCAGCAAGCGTGTCCAACGAATACTGATCTGGCCTTTTCAGGTTGACCCATTTTGTCACCAGTGCCAAGGGCTCTATTACTTTAGGTTGACCCAAAAACCAATAAAAAAATAGCTGGTACCATAGGTCAGTTTCTGGGTTAATTTGTTTTGACCCACTTGCAAGCCTAAACAACATATGAAAGAACCATATTTTGACATCAAGTATAACAAACCACATAGGAAAGGTCAAATATCAGAACATCATGCTCAGAAGAACTTCTCCACATGGGTCCCTGTTCCACGAAAGAGAGAAAGAACATCTTCAATTAAGACAGACAATCAATTTCAACTTTAGCACACACTTATAACATCCAATCACCTAAGAAAACAACAAAATTACTGCAATAAAAATTGTTAACTTCTTGCTTATCAGAAACAAGTAATGCTACAAATACAGAAAGCTCTAGAAAATTGTACTTACATGCTGCAATGGACAGCAACAACCATTGCAACCTCGTTTGAAATTGTTAATTGAAACATTCCACTCACATACATTGGGAAAGGTTGTTATCTGAATGTAAGTAAAATTTTCTGACAACTTTTCTGTAGGCTTAGCATTTCTCATCAGAAACAAACAATAAATTTCAAACAAAAAGTGGAAAAAAAGGTAACTCTGTTTTTTTAAATGCATTTTCAAATCAATCAACACATCAGCGTTTGCATTTAATAGTTAAATAATGAATACTTATCCCAATCGACACAATTAAAGCAAGAAATTATTTTTTATATTCTACAACAACAACAACAAAGCCTTTTAGTCCCAAGCAAGTTGGGGTAGGCTAGAGTTGAAACCCAACATGAGCCCCTAGTCACGGTTCGGGCACGTCAATAGCTGTTTTCCAAGCACTCTTATCCAAACAAAGATCTCTAGGTATATCCAACCTTTCAAATCGGTCTTCCTCTACCTCTCAAATTATTTTTTATATTCTATATAAGTTTTTTCTTTTTTGCCAGTGGCTCATTTGGAGTTTCAATTCTAGCCAACCCCAATTTGCTTAGGACTAAAAGGCTTTGTTGCGAAAGAGCCTCTAGCCGAGTTGGTTAGGTGGCTTGAGTAGCACTCCTCATGTCCTGAGTTCGACTCCCCGTGGGAGCGAATTTTCAGGCTAGGGTTAAAAAAATCCCCTATGTCAGTCCCATGCCAAAGCACATGTCTAAGGATTGGCCCTGGTCATGGTCGTTCTCACATGGGCTACAATGCCGTTGTGTATGGGTAGGACAGGGGTTCGGGGGTTTACTTGACCTGCATGAAAAGGTCTTCTTCTTAATGCAATGCCCGGGGGCTGTCTTACCCCCAGCAGGTTGAGCTTTTTTAAGGCTTTGTTGTGGTTGTGGTTCTTGTTGTACTTCTTTGAATGCAGAACCCATGAATAATAAAAGTTATCCAGAACCAACATTAATAAACTCAATTCAGTATGACAATACCTTCACCCAGAGAAAACTGCAACATGCCAATTCAGAAACAAAAAGGGAGTGACCATTGTTTAGCCAAGACAAAACCTCCTTGCTGTTGTCATGCTCCAATTATTCTATACAAAGAACTGCTACTTAAAATTAAGAGCACCTAGTAAACCCTCTCATGTACTGGCCTCTGAGCAAGGCAAACTACGACGTGTCAGTTATGAACCCTAATGTGGGACGCTTTAATTTGTTACTGCCAATAGCAGCCTTTCGTAGCTAAATAGGAGTAGCTCAGCATAACCAGCAGGAAACATATTATCGAGTTGAAAAATCAAATCCTACCAACCACGCAAGATCGCGGCATGGGCTTGAAACACAGCTAGATCCCAGGACTCCAACCGCCAGAGTCCAATCCAGCCGAGAGCAAAAGAGCAACTACCTCACAAATCATGTCAAAGACCAACGCTCTAAGGTCGGAGGGATGGAGGGGAAAATGAGTGGAGGCCCAGAGAATCTTACATCTGAGCGGTCCAGGGCCATGGTCGGAGCCGAGGGAGTCGAAATCGGAGCGGCCGGCTAAGGGCCGCGAGGAGGAAGGCTCCTCGCGGAATCCGCGGCCTTTGGTCTTGCGCGCGGCAGCGGAGGAATCTCCGCTGGCCGCGATGGTAGAGCGGAGGCGCGGGGCGGAGGCCGCGTTGGCCTCGGGGGCGTCGTCGTCCATGAGGTCGTCGTCATCGGAGTCGAAATCGACTACCTCCACGTCCCTTGCGTTCGCCGCAGCCATGGCAGCCTGGCTAGCTCGCTCGAGACGAGATGGGTGGTGGAGTTCGGGGTGCGGCGGCGGTGTTAACGAGCTGGCCTTCTGGTCTCGGCTCCTTGTGTAAGCTGTGCCTGGAATGGCAATCTCTTCCTTCCGAATCTCTTCCTTTCGAATCCAGAGTTCACGCTCGGGCATCCCACTTAGCCACGTCACCCATTAACCCAATAACAGTAGGATCCGGCAAAGGCGTGATATGGACCGTCCGATCAGGGACGTAGCGGGTCTCTCGCCCGTTAAGCCGTCAACCCGGACAGACGTGAATCCTCGCGAACCCGCTCACGAGCCCTCTCCTCGGCGCACTTCTCTCCTCCAGTCCTCCGGCTGCCCTCCGCCGCCCTAGCACCTCCCTCCTCCTAATGGTGCGGGCCGGGTGCGGGCGCGGCGTTCCCGGCGCGGGTGGATCCCCAGCGGCCCCGGCGACCACGGCGCAGGCGGTTTGCGGGAGCAACGGTTGCGGCCACCCCGGAGCGGGCGGCAGGCGTTGGCACGGTGGCTGCGACCACCCTAGAGCGGCGGCAGGCATTGGCACGGTGGCTGCGGCCACCTCGGAGCGGGTGTGGGGCTTGAGCGCTGCAGCCTCTCTCGAGACGCCCCTCCCCCTACAGCAGCGCCGCCTCTCCTAGCAGCATGCGCCAACCAGCCGCGCCGCGTCCTCTCAGCCTCGTCCTCGGCGCGAGCTGCCTCCGCTGCAAGGGTTGGCTGCGACGACGAGCATGTGCCAACCAGCCGCGTCGCCCGTCGGATTCTTCACTTGGTATGCGTCGTAGCCCGCGCCTACCTTCGCCCCGGACCTCCTCCGGGAACTCCTCCGCGCGCGACGTTCTGTAGCTCCCCGCGCCCCTGTGTGACCTACCACCGCGCATAGCGGATGGGCCAGCACTCCGGCAGCCAGAGCAGCCGACGACATCCACGACGCCCAACAGTTGTTTGACGAAATGACTCCGAGGCAAGCCGCTCACCAAACCAGCACCAGGCCCAGATGTTGAAAACTCTAGTTTGGTTTTGGTGAATTGATGAAACCCTAAGTGTTAACCTAGTTTATCAAAGTGATCATGAGATAGGTAGCACATTCCAAGTGGTGAAGCAAATGAAGATCATGACATGATGATGGTGATGATCAAGTACTTAGACTTGAAAAGAAGAAAGAGAAAAACAAAAGGCTCAAGGCAAGGTATAAGTGGTTGGAGCCATTTTGTTTTGGTGATCAAGACACTTAGCGAGTGTGATCACATTTAGGTTCGATAGCCATACTATTAAGAGGGGTGAAACTCGTATCGAAATGCGGTTATCAAAGTGCCAGTAGATGCCCTAACTCATTGCATATGCATTTAGGATTCTAGTGGAGTGCTAACACCCTTGAAAATGTTTGTGAAAATATGCTAACACACATGCATAGAGGTGATACACATTGTATTTAGCACTTAGGAGCGAGGGTAAGAAACTTCACCGGTGGACTGTCCGCCCGTACAAACAAGTCAGGGGTTCACGGAGTGCACCGGACGCTGGTCTCAACTGGGCCGGAGCGTCCGGTCAGTGGAAGCAATAAAGACGCTGGAGTCAGTCTTCGACCGGACGCTGGCTGACTGCGTCCGGTCCCGCTGACGTGGCAGTGCACAGAGAAGACGATGAGTGACCGGACGCTGAGTGAGTCCGGTCAGGCGTGACTGGACGTGTCCGGTCGTGAATTTTCACCTCTAGAACCTTACTGGAAATGACCGGACGCTAGTGTTGGTGTGTTCGGTCACTTAGAGCAGCACGTCCGGTCATAACTTAAGTGCATTGATGATCATTGAGATCAGACGATCAGCATTTGAAGCAGGGGCCACATGGCATGCATCGCACGACCGGACGCTGGGGTCCTATGTCCGGTCGATCTGACCGGAGCGTCCGGTCGTCCCGAGCAGTGCCCAGTGAAGGGGTACAACTGCTCTATTTTGTGGGGGCTTCATTTAAGCCCCATTGCCGGCTGTAGCTCACTCTCTTGGCCATTTGCATTGACATAGCAACCTTGTGAGCTTAGCCAAAGCCCTCCCACTCATCTCCATCATTGATTCATCATTTCTGTGAAATTGAGAGTGAATCCAAGTACATTGCTTGAGTGTTTGCATCTAGAGGCACTTGGTGTTCGTGTTTCGCTGCGGTTCGCTTGTTACTCTTGGTGGTTGCCGCCACTTAGACGGCTTAGAGCAGCGAGGATCGTCGAGCGGAGGTTGGTGATTGTCTCCGGCTCCGATCATGGTGATTGTGAGGGGTTTTTGACCTTTTCCCGGCGGAGAGCCAAAATGTACTCTACTAAATTACTCATGGCTTGTGTGATCCTCATTTTGTGTTGGTTGTGCGTCACCCTATTGAGGGTCTGGTGTGTGATGCCAATTAGCGCGTGAACCTCCAAGTGAGTGAATCGCCATAACGAGGACTAGCTTGTCGGCAAGCAAGTGAACCTCGGTAAAAAAATTATTGTATCATCATTTGATTCCGAGGCGATTGGTCTTCATTGATATTAATTCTTGTGATTGATTGGTTCATTCCTCGACTCGACGGTACAACCATATTGCTTTCTCTCTTTACATTACCGCAAACTAGTTGTCAAGTTCTTTAAGTTCTTTAGTATAGCTAGTCGTGAGAGCATGTTAGTTTGGTTAGTGTGGCTCTTTAGTTAGCCTTTGAGAGCACACTAATTTAGTGTAGTGACATAGCCATTGTGTGGATAGAGGCTATATAAACTAGAATTGTGGTAGGTGGCTTGTATTTTTAGTAGGCTAGCGCAACACTCGCTTCGCCTCATATTTGTCGAACCGTTTTGCTAAGTGTTGTTGTAAAAAAATTTATAGGCTATTCACCCCCATCTAGTCATTAGGACCTTTCAGACGTCCTTAACCCGAGAGGCCTAGAACAAGGTGACAACTTTATCCTTGGCCATGTCTTGCTTGTGTCCTCAATTTAAAATTTTCTATGTAGATTTTTTCCCAATCTAATTTCAACATAGGCCTGGCAGCCAGCATGAACACAAATGCAGCTTCTCAAACTCAACCAAATCAAAGATGCAAAGAAGATCGCCTTGAAGCACTAGCGGCGTCGGCAGTAGCACAGTAACAAACCCCATCCCCATCTTCCCTGCGCCTTCTGTGTTTTAATTGAAGGAATTGTTGGTGAACGAGCAAAAATGTTATTCAGGTTGATTGAAATGTTTAATATGCTGATAGCTCGCTAATTCCACTTAACAGACTATCTTGAACTATTATTATTAATATGACAACCCTTTGAAGCTTTATAAGTTTCTCTGTTTAACTGAGTATTAATCAAAGAAAACCGCACTAGAAAACCTATTGAAGTGCAAATAGTATTAGGGATGTCATACTATTAATTTTCTCGTGTGCTGCTGAAATTCGAGTTTGCAGATCTTATCCAACCAAACGAGATTCATAACCTCACACAGTAGGTGAAGTTACCGTTCTCTTGTTAGTATATGCTGAAATGAAATGATGCAACTGTGATATGTGGTTTAGATGACACTAGACTTAGTCAGTAGTTTATGAGGATGACCGATTTATGTTTGGAAGACCAAAACAATGGTTTTTTTTCTTAAAATCATCATATTTCAAGTCTCTGTGCAAAAGCTCTAAACTGACTACAAGTTCTGCATACTTTTCGAAAAAACTACTATGTCATTACTTTTTACAAAACTACATTTTATCTCATTTGTAGTAATTAGCAGATTTGTAACCATGTCCAATGGTACCCATAAAGGTTCTATGCGCATCTTTCTTTCTTGAACTTTTTTACAGCAAGCTTATGAGAAGGCCTGCATTACATATCATTGCACAAATCTCTGTCAACCTACGATGCTCCATATCTTCTGCTGGCACAAAAATTAATATTACCTTCATAAAATATTTTACACATTAAGTAATTTTAGTTACAGATTATATACTACTTTGCAGTGAATGGGAAATCTACAGTGGAGAAATTGTGACACATCTTCAGAGAATTCCTAGGTAGGATAAGGGGATTATTCAAAAAGTGGACAGGTCTTATCTTGAAGTATTTGAAGATAGTAAAGAAAATGTCTTAAAGTAGGTGTAAAAGCGTTTTTTTTCACTAATAGTTCCTTCTTGTGCTCCTTAGGTCTTTTAACAGTCTCCCCTCACTGTTGAATAGTAAAATCTAACCACATTTGTTTACTGAAAATACATTGAACAAGGAAATTGAACAGGCCCATTTACATAACTGCATGTATCCCCTACATATGTTCTTGCTAGCTATCAATTACTATACTTTGATGGCTTCAGTTCTAGAGGTCAAGCAACTTTACAAAATTCTTGTGCTAGACAGGGGAAAACATTATCTGAACCATCCCCCTCTTCTCTGTTAATGAACAAAATGAAAGCATCTAGGCCTCTAGTTGGGTTTCGGTGATTAATGACAATACAAGATTAATATGACTAACGTATGTTTTGCAGAGGCAATTAAGTTAGGTCATGGTAATGGAGATCGATTGGGCAATCAAGGTGGTCATGCCCCTATGATGGAATCGTTTTGGTTTCAAAGGATGGACGACAAGGTTAAGGATGACTAGTTCTAAGTATCGATTGGAGTTGGAGAGACACTTAGAGTAGTTTAGGACTTTGTTTTTTCCTTTGGCCATATTATTAAGGGGGGTATGGATGGGTAGCTTGACCTAGGTGGGTCTAGTGAGTTAGGTGTGGTGCACACTTGTTAAAACTAGCACTAGATAGCTTCTAAATATGCCTAAGATCCATTGGAGCAAACTTCATTCACATATGATCGAGAGTTGGAAGTGAATGGAGGGTCAAATACTAACCGGACGCTGGCTCCGGTTTGACCGGACGCTGGCTCAGGGTCCGGTCAGTTCATTTGACCAAGGTGATTGCGTCTGGTTTGACCGGACGCTGAGAGGTAAAGTGACCGGACGCCGAGAGGCAGCGTCCGGTCGACTCCAGTAA